CAAATGGCTGCAATATAACAAAGAGTGAAAAATTTAAGGGGGTCTGAATACTTTCCGTACCCACTGTATATACATATCTATGGTCTACACGGGATGCGGCGCGGTACGACAAATCCCCGACAGAAAACTGCTGCTGCGTTCTATTTACTGTATGACGTATTGACACAAATTTCAAATGATTTTCAATGGTCACTTTATCACGTCCAGTGTAGACAGACTTTATCTGTTGCGTCCGGTGTAGACACGGTGTTACTCACCTATCGAGAAGAAACAAAGCAACCTCGCGTCCGATCGCAGGCCTTCCGCTCCTTGAGTTCTCTCCAGCATTGGAAAGCTGATCCGATATTTACACGGGTCCTACTTCTTGCCTTATTGCCTTTAGCCTTCTTTTGTTTCCACAGATGTTTTCCTCTTTTGTTTTTTATCCGCCATCTCTATCTTTCTGTCGCTCAGCTCGGCTAATGTCCGTCCTGTGCACTGAACGCTCTCTCCTCCACATTATGAGTAGACACGCCCCTTACTGCTGATTGGCTACAAGTTTGTTTTGCTACTTGGTCTGAATCAGTTTTCTAAAGCGTTTTTGAAAAATCGCTTACCCCACCTTTAATTACTCACCCTCATGTAGTTCCAAACCCGTAAGTCCTTCGTTCATCTTCAGAACACAAATTAAGATATTTTTAATCAAATCCGAGAGCTTTCTGACCCTGCATAGACAGCAACAGAACTGACACGTTCAAGGGCCACAACGGTAATAAGAACATCGTTAAAATAGTCCATGTGACATCAGTGGTTCAACCTTAATGTTATTTAATTTTATTTAATCACGACAGTACCATGACGCATGCGTGTGCATTCCTCTGCTTGCAAAGGCACAGCGCATGTGGGCTCCTGCGTCAGCAGCAACATACGCATGCATCGTGATACTCTCATGAATGCGCAGTGGAGACTGACCTGGAAGAGAAGAATTGTTGAATAAAGTTGCTATTTTTGTTTTCTTTGCGCACAAAAAGTATTCTCATAGCTTCATAAAATTAAGGTTGAACCACTGATGTCACATGGACTATTTTATCGATGTCCTTACTAAGTTTCTAGGGCTTGAACGTAGTAGTTCTGTTGCTGTCTATGGAGGGTCAGAAAGCTTTTGGATTTCATCAAAAATATCTTAATTTGTGTTCCGAAGATGAACAAAGGTCGTACGGGTGGACGAAGGTCGTACATTTTTGGGTGAACTGCCCCTAAGGTCAGACAGAAATAAGGGCATAAACTTCAGCCTCTTCTTTGTAACGCTGGGGTTGTTTGAAAATGAGACACAGTTGCCAGGAATATCACAACAGTTGGCATATGAGTGTGTTTGTGTATATAACCAGATTGTGTACATACTAATCATTTATTAATCATAAATAAATAAATAATGCATTCAATAAATAGTGTTGTTACAGGTTTCCTATCCTCCTACTTTTTATATAATTTCATTTATTATATGAAATAGTGCTTCTTTTTTTCCCCAAAAAATATATTTTAAATACATTTTTTAACTCTACCATAATTTCAAAACAGTGCCTTTTTTCTTCTTCTTTTTTTAAATTCCTTTGAGTTCTGCAGTTCTCAGTTACTTCACTGTGGATCACTTCACAACTGGATCAGTTTGCTGAGCACCAAATAGCCATTAATGTGTAAATATGGGTGGTCATGGGTGGACACTCTGGAATGCTCGATTCTGATTGGTCAGTTACAGAATTTAACAGTCAAATGTTTTTCATAATGACACACCCCTTTAAATATTCAGAGTATATTGGTCGATCATTGAGTATTCAGTTAGCTATTCTTTTTTTACATTTTGTCCCCACAATCATGATAACATATTTGGTTACATCCTTAGATATCATAGTAGATGGGACTTATTCATAAAAAAATTAATTAAAAAAAGCTAGGTCTGTTTTTCTATGATAATGACCCCTTTAAATATCCATAACTCTGTGTCCGGCTGTTTTGAGATTAACAGTCCCAAGGCATTGAAATGTTTATGCACATGTTTAATGAGCCCAGAGATGTGAAACTTTTACAAGGTCATTGCTGAAAGAGGGACACAGCAGACAATTCATTTATCTTTCATTAATTCGCAGTATAATTACAATCATTTCCACATGACTGCATGGCTTATCTAAGCATCAGTGTTCTTTTCTTTGTCATTAATGAGTATTCTCTCCCTTGCTCTGTCTGTCTGTCTTTCCTGTGTTCCTCTCAGATCCAGCGGGCTTTGTTAAGGAATAACCAGACTCAGCGGTTCTCTCAGAAACAGGCTCTTCGGTTGCATCAGGGCCTGGTTACTAGTACCGCAGAACAGGTAAAGACTGCTTCCTGACCACCACCTCATATTCACATGCCTCATTGTCTACCACTACTGCAAATCCAACACAATTATTCACACTTCTAGTATGTGATGATCATGTTGGTTATGGTGATGATGAGAGTCTCTGGGTCAGAGTTTGGGTCATTTCTATTTTAGTTCTGCCAGTTCAGATTAATTGAGTTTAATTGGTGGCTAAATTGCAAGTGCAATTTCTATGCATTTCCTGTAATATATTAATTAAAATTGACTCGACTAAAAGCCTGAAGTGTCATAGACATATTTCAGGGTCAAATGGCACTGTGAGGCTTTTTGTGAAAGGAGAATTGCATAATTATGCCATTTAAATTCTCAATTAGCTCTTTAAATTTCTAGTGTGTTATTTCAGTGCAACTAGGAGCTTCAAAATAATCTAAAAATTATTCCTGAACACTTACCCTATCTGTGTTTGTTTGGACAAACAGGTTGTCCTCTACCAAATTAATGGCATCGGTTGAAATTGATATGTTGAACTAATATGCACTAACATTTAAAAGTTTGGGGTCAGTAAGATAAAATAAGTTAATACTTTTATTCAGCGAGGACACATAAAATTGATCAAAACTGATTTATATTTCAATAAATGCTGTTTTTTTTTTTTTGTTGTTGTTTTTTTACTCATAAAAGAATCCTGAAAGATTGATCACGGTTTTCTCAAAAATATTAAGCAGCACAACTGTTTCCAACATTGATAATATTAATAAATTTAAAATACTTTAAAATACAAAACATGTATTGTAAATTGCAATATTATTTCACAATATTGCTGTTTCAAATACATTTTTATTATCAAATAAATGCCTTGGTGAGCATAACCATTTAAAAAAAAAAAAAAACAAGATTATAAAAATATTACAGACCCCTAAACTTTTGAATGGAAGTGTACCTGAAGAGAAGAATTCTATCTATTAGCAGTCCCATTTTCTTCATACGAGTCTTCATATTTACATTCTTTGGATGGTTAACATGTCAGTGGATTGTTTATATTGGTCTCTAACCAATAAACTAGTAAAAAGAGAAAGTTTTTATCTTAAAAGAACTGACACACATGTGTTTAAACACTTTTTTTGTGTTTGTGAGGAAGCATCTCTTTCACATGCTAATGTAAACTCTGACTGATCTTACTGTGTATTGTTGGATCAAACTCTCCTCTCTCTCTCTCTCTGTTGCTCTTGCTTTCTTTCCTTCTCTGTCTGTTCCTTTCTCTCTCTGTCTCTTCTTTCTGTCCCGCTGCTGTCCCAGGTGATGGAGCGTCTGTGTGTGCGTGTGCAGCAGCAGGTGTGTGTGTTGAGAGGAACAGGTGAAGGGGAAGAGCTACAGGCTGCCAGACAGGTCCTCAAGGAGGCCAGGAACTCTCGAGCTGTGAGTGTGTTTGTGCATTTACCTGTCAAACGTCTGCGCAACCACTCTTCTTTATTCTCTTATTACGAATATTTTCCACACAGCAGTACAGTCATCACACCTATGAAAGAAGAACACAAATATAATATTTTTTCGAAATAAATTAATACTTTTATTCAGAAAGAATGCATTAAATTGATCATAAATGACAGTAAAGACATTCATAATGTTACAAAGGATTTGAAAAAAAAATTCTTTTGAACTTTCAACTGAATCACAGTTGCCACAAAAATATTGGGCAGCTAAATTTTTGATACTGTTTTCAATATTGGTAATAATAGGAAATGTTTCTTGAGCACTAAATCAGCATATTAGAATGATTTCTGAAGGATTGTATGATACTAAAGACTTGAGTAATGGCTGCTAAAAATTCAGCTTTGTCATCACAGGAATAAATTACATTTTAAAAGCTTGTTCAAATTAAAAACAGTGATTATAAATTGTAATAATATTTCACATGTATTCAGGTAAGACTTTACAACAAGGTTCAAGAACTAACAATGAGCATTTATTAATGGTAAATGTTAATTTATAAATGATACTATTGTTCATTGTTGATTCGTGTTCTTTTATAATACATTCCCTAATGTTAATTTAACCTGAAATGTTAAAATGTATTAACACAAGTAGAAAGTAACACTGTTAGTTTAATAAATGCTGTAAAAGTATTAAATATAAATTAATTATAAAAATACAAAAGTATTGAATGTTAACAAATTCAACTATATTGTAAAGTGTTACTACAAAACAAATTTATATTTATAGCAAAATGCATATACAAACATTTCTGCATTTAACGTTTAAAGCAAAAGGTTTTTAAGATCATGAAGTCAAGTATGTCTAAACTTTTGACTGGCATATTAAATAAATAAATTCTATACTACACATCACTTTAGTTTACACCATTGCTAGTAGATTTTAGTGCTGTGGATTTTGTCTGTAATCACATTATATGTTGATATTTGCTTAACATAAGTTTTTTTTTTATATACAGTGCAGATGGCTTCATGGTAATATTCAGTCAGATGTTATTTATGTGCTGGCATAAATGCAGATATTCGAGTGACTCAGTTATTGATTCATGTGTTTTCTGTTTATTAGTTTAAGAAACGTTCAATTTCTACTACAGTACATATGCATTTATGAGCAAACATTAAAAGTTCAAAACAAATCACCTCCATGACTCTCATGCAAACAGAATCCTCATAGCGATCAGCGAGTGAGAGAGAGTGAGAGATCATGACTGGTGTGTGAATTATGTCTGCACTGTCCTCTAGCTGTACCCCTCGCTGTGTGAACTGGCCCACGTGCTGTCAGTGGACGGTCCGGTGAGACAGCGGCTGGACTCTCTGGCTGGAGAACTCGCCAAAGCAGCTGATAAAGAACTACAGGTGCTGTCTCTCTCCCTCTCATCCTTCAGCCTGCTTTCTTGTTCTGATGGACGATTGATGGTGGATTTGTGCAGGTCATTGTGGACTCCATGGTGTCTCTGTGCCGGGAGCTGTGTCCGCTTTCTTGTGCCGCAGCGGAGTGTCTCTCTCCTCCCCTCTCCTCCATCTCTGAGCGCGTGTCCATCCCTCGTTCGTCCATCCGCACCGCTTTGATGGAGAGAGCAGCTCAGGACATCAACAGAGCTCTGGAGTAAGAAAGGAGGGTGTTGAGTTGTTGATGTTTCTGAAATTAATACTTTGAGAATTAAGTACTTTTTTGATGTCGGTTCAGTCGGCGGCAATCTTTATAATGCCCCCAGGCAGCAGCTTTCAAAACAGCTGTCTATTTGAATGGGTAATGACGGAAATCTCCAAAACTGTTTTGCACGGTTAGTGTAATCTGTGGTGGAGCTTGCCTTTTTGGTATATTGGTACAAACTCAAGAAATTGGATAAAGCTTATAACTAAAATATGTATTACACAGGAATGATTTTACGGTAAAATCATGGAATGCAATTGGTCACTATCATAGAAAAAATACATGTATGTACAGTATTTGTGAATATAGATACATAACGTAAAAAAGATAACAACATGCTAAAGCCATGTTAAACTTTATTTTAACTTTTTTTTAATTATTTTAATTTTGTTTAAAATAAAAATAAAATAAACAATTTTATTTTGTTTTATTATTTTTCCTTTAAAGACCTCTTGATTTCGAGATTTCGATTATCATGGAAAAAACACATTTACATATTTATATCTAAATACAGAATGTAAAATAAGGTAACAAACAACACAAAGGCTTTTTTATTTTATTTTTGGTTACATTTCACTTTCAAAAGTCCACTTTAAACATTCTACTAACTATAAGTAACTGTGCAACTACATGTTCATTAACTAATTAATTTGCAACTACAACTAACTTAAAATATTATTAAATATTATTAGTAGACTCTTAGGTTAGGGTTAGTAGAACAAATTGACATTATTTATTTATTTATTTATTCTAAATATTTATTTTTGGTGTTTTGCCTTTATTGTGATAGGACAGTATTTTGGTATTTTATTTTATTTTATATTTGATGTTATTTTATTTTTTGCAGCTTAGTCCTTCAAAGGCCCCTTGATTTAGATTCTTGATATTGATTCACCTTGCATGGTTGTATCATGGGTGTATCTAAATTTTTGTCCAAACAAATGATCTGTGCGATGCACCCGTCGATCAAAATCATGAAGTATTTATTGGAAAGCCAAACCTACTTTTCTGTAGCTACTGTTTTGACAGTTGGAACTCCCAGCATGGTTTTAACATGCTCTAACGAGTTTTTTCTGTGTCTCCCATCTCTCTCAATTTTAGGGAGGTGAAGCTATCTGTGGTCTCGTATCTCACAAACTCCATAGTGGACCAGATCCTACAGGAGCTTTATGCCACACACAAAACCCTGGTACTACAAACGAATTTCTCTCTCCATTCGTCTGTTCATTCTGAACACGTGCACAAGCATCGCTCTTCCTCACGCATCTGTTCGTCATCACAGCTCCGGCAGGTTTCACAGATGAGACGGCTGGAAGACGGGGGAACAGCCAGGCGCACACATAGACATGCTGACATACTGGATGTTGTGGAGGATGACTTTGGCATCAGCATAGTGAGTGTGTTACGTGAATCACTCGCAACTGACTCAGTTGTGTGTTTGGTGGTGTTTACAGTATCTGTCATCTCTTGTAACTCAGCGGTCTTGTCATCTGCTCAGTTCGTGATGTTCTCACTCACTTCTGTCGTTCTGCACACAGGACACAATCGCCATTAAGAAACGCAGCTCCAGGACCAGACGCATTCGTCCCGTGTCCAACAGACTCAGTGAGTCACACATGCTCGGATGAAAGCAGGACTATCATTCATTTTTTAGTTGAATACTCATTCAGTGCTTTCAAGTCATGTATACTTATACTGTGTATAAATTTTTCAGTTTAAACCCATTCATTCTTTATATCATATTTTAAGCTCAATTTCATTTATAAAACGTATTTAACATTTATTAGGTATGTCATTTTAGCATGTTAATTTAGTGTTTTTAATTTTTAATTAATTATAAAAATAAAGAAAATACAAATAAATAGTTGCATACACGTAATTGTGCTCCATGACAATTAAACAATTAATGGAATAGTTCACTCAAAAATGTACATTTGATAGAAATTTACTCACTCTCAGGCCACCTAAGATGTAAATGAGTTTGTTTCCTCATCAGAAAATAAAAATTGGAGAAATTTAGCATTACATCCCTTGCTGACCAATGGATCCTCTGCGGTGAATGGGTGCCAGCAGAATGAGAGTTCAAACAGTTGATAAAAGCAATTCTATCATTAAGGCATTTTAACTTGAAACTGTCACTTCTGGCCAAAATATCCAAAGAGTCCATAATCCATAATAATGCTTCCTCCAGTGAAAAAGTCCGTCCCCTGTTGTCCTCTCACATCAAAATCCACTGACATATTTGTTTAGAACTGTTTTTGTTTGTAAACAGTGCTTGATCTGTCCATATTTCTCCCCTGCATTGAGAAGATACCACTTTTTCACTGGAGAAAGTAATATTATGGATAGAGCCGGAAAAAAATGGTTTGAAGTTAAAAACATATTTTTAAAAAATCGTAATGATGGATTTGTTTATTACAAACATGCAGCTTATGGATTAGCTACATTACTTGTGAATTATTGTGATGTTTTTATCAGCTGTTTGGACTCTCATTCTGATGGCACCCATTCACTGCAGAGGATCCATTGTGAGCAAGTGATCATATATATGTCATATAATTAATTCACTCTCCTTCAGGTCTAGGTGACGACCCCAACTCTTCACCTTTAGTGTCCACTCCTCAGACATCTGCTCCCCTTTCACGCTCAGCATCATGGGAAGGTCTGTCCACCCTGCCCACACAGGGTTCTCCTCTGCGTCATGTGACCCATGTCAGACCGCGTCCACCACGAAGACACAGGACTGCACACGCTCCCTTTGAGACAGTAAGAACCAGCACCATTGCCAGTATTGCCACACCAATACTAATTTATACTAATGTATACCAATGTACACATTTATATATCTTTATATAGCATTTTTAGTGTTAAAATAAGGTATAAATAAAAATAAAGTAAATTTTACTTAAAAAATGTACTTAATAAACTTAATAAACCCTCAAGTCTTGTGTTAGCCACATATTCATCATATATTTATGATCAATATTGTTTACAATTTAGTTTGATAGATACACTTGGCAACAAGTCTCATACTGGGGCCTTGGTGTATTGTGACAAAACACAATCCTATCAAACTGAATTCTCTTATTTTACCTGTAATTAAATCTGCTGCAGAAATAGTCGTGTTTAGATTTGCGACTCCAGAGGTGTCCCTTATCATGTTGTCGTTGAATCGTTTGTATGTATTGTTTTCTTGTAGCTTCTATTATTCATTTGACTAGTGAACGAAGAAGCAGTTCTGGATTCGTAAAGAGAGAAAAAAAACACACACAAACTTTTAATCGTGTTTTCTTTTTTTTTTAAAGTAGCCGAATCTATTTCTCTTCGTCCTCCTCATAAAATTGAATCTGTAATGTATTTCATGCAGCATTATCTTATAATAATAACTATATAACTGTAAGTATACAATACCATATATTGGACGTTTATTACGAAAAAATCCAACGTATTCAGTATATTCAAAAATATGCAAATGTATAAGTTGATTGAGACCAATTATGATTTTTATGAGAGTGGGCAGTCACTGTGTTTTCCCACGATTCTCATTTCCATGGTAACAGCGACTTCTCTGATTGGCTTCAGGATTGATGGTAGTGTGATATTTCTTTGGGAATTCTGCAATTACAAATTATTTGTTGTAAATTAAGTCAAAATCGCACTGATTTATGGATCCTACAGGAGGTATTCTTCAAAAATACTCCAAATATGAAATAAAAAGCGATTAATCGACAGCTATTCAAGCTGTTAACGAGAAGGAGGGGGTTGATTTTAATCACGTTCTCTTGTTAGCGTGATTTTTCTCAGAAATCTGTCTGTCTGAATTAAAGCATCAAACATTAAAGGCTCTCTCCTTTTCAATCACTTCCGATCAGCCTAAGTGCCTGCAAGCTGTGTCTTTGTAATGTCTGTTGATCAAATTAATACATTGACATAATACAGAAGAACAAATCCCAGATGGGTGAGATACAGTACTGTGACAGCATCATCCACTAACACAAATTTAGAGAGATGATCTACTCCAGTCCCAGTCCTCAAAAGCACACCATCATCATCATCATCATTATTTCTCTTGTCGTCCTGTAGCACTGCTCGGAGAATGGTGGAGTATCTCTATTGGATGATGGACTGCCTGACTTCTACACCAAGAGAGTTTTACCAGACAGGTGCTTCAGTACTGAACACTTCTGTGTAGTAATGAAGTCTAACAATGAAGGTGTCACATTTGCTCACTTTTTAAAGGTTGAAGGCATATGGGCATGCTAAAAATGTGGACGTTATCTTATCTCTGACACCCTGACTTTCTGTCCTGCAGTCAGCTGTCATCCCACCATCACGCTCAGGCTCTGAGGAGAAAGAAAAGACGCAGTGTGCTGTCAATCTTTTCTGGATTCAGGAAGAACCACAACTCTACCATATCATATCAGGAGTCAGACCCTACAGGAAGGGGCGGGGCCTGTGGGGAGGAATGTCGCACTAAGTGAGTCAGTCGTATTTTAATATATAATAATTCATACTACACTTCCATTCAAAAGTTTGGTGTCAGTACGATTTTTTAATATCTGAAATAAGACTCTTATGCTCAACGAGGCTGCATTGATTTGATCAAAAATACACTAAAAACAGTAATAATGTAAAATGTTATTACATTTGAAAATAACTGTTTTTAATTAATTAATTTTTTAGCATATTTTCAATTGTAATGTATTCCTGTGATGGCAAAGCTGAATTTTAGCAGCCATTGCTCCAGAATTCAGTGTCACGTGAATTAGAAACATTTCTTATAATTATCAGTGTTGAAAAAGTTGTTCTGCATAATATTTATGTAAAAACCATGATACATTTTTTTTCAGGATTCTTTGATGCATAGAAAGTTCAAAAGAACAGCATTTATCTAAAATAGAAAACTTTTGTAATATTATTAATGTCCTTACTGTCACTTTTGATCAATTTAATGTGTCCTTGCTGATTAAAAGTATCAATTTCTTTAAAGATAGTGTACAGTATATCATAATAATAAATGATATAAAGTGTATTATATCAATAAATCAAACTCTTACTCTTGTTTTCCTTTTATCTGTTGCTCTCTCAGTATTGCCACTGAGAATGTGTACTCCTTGATTCAACACCCAAAGGATCGTGTGAGGTTAGACGTAGGCACTGAGGGCACCAATGGGAGGCTGGTTGGGCCGGGTGTTCAGAGGACCCCTCAGCTGTCAGGACGGCCTGTTCATGGTATACCCCTGCCAGGAATGATGGGACTCAGCCCCTCCTGCTTTTCACAGAGACAGGTAAAGTTCACCACATTACATAATTTAGATTCCAGTTCAGTTCTTGAAATTCAGTTGAATTTGAATTTTGATTGCAAACAAGATCCAGAATTGTAATTCAAATTTGAATTTAAGGAAGTAGAATTCAAATTAAATTACATTCAAATAAATTCTTATTATTCATTTGGCCATTTCCTGAAATATGAGATGATATTAATAATCAATACTTGAAATGCCACCTGTAGAAATGCATATGTCATTTATACACAGCATATGCTATTATATTAAAAAAATAAATATATAATTTTATTTCATTTAATTTCATGGACTTTGTTTTTAAGAATCCTATAAATTACCCCAATTTTGATGCAAGTATTTTAATAATGTTATCTAAAATCACTATGGGACATATTGTGGTTCTATATGGAAAAATGAAAATCTGTTTTCATGGCTGTGGTTGTTTTAACAATATTAAATTATTATTTTTTTAAATGTCTAATTTTAAGGGGAGGGTTATACCAGGTTAAAGGCATGAGTAGTAAAAATGATGTATTATTTCTGACTAGTCACAAATCTTTTGTGTGACTGTTGAATTTCTTTCAATTACAATCCAGTAAATTCCTCTGCTTGTCATTCTAATTCCAATTCAACATTCCGTGTTGAGATCTATGCCAGTTCAGGTTCAACGTCACGAGTTGAAGCAGAGCCAATTCTTAAATTGAATTTAGGCCAACTCTGGTACACAAACTACCGTATTGACCCGAATATAAGATGATGTTTTTTTCTTGGAAATACATCTGAAAAACGCGGTCGTCTTATATTCAGGGTCTAGACTTTGACATGTCAATAATACACCCACAACAATAGGTGGCGCCAAATACGCATAAAACGAGTGTGCCATGAAATACGTAATGTAATGCGTGTTGTAAAGATCTCGAGTAAAAACAAAAGAAAAAGAAAACCTTACAGCTGCATGAGTCGTGACTGTCATGTTAGCCTGATTGGACCAAACTCCCTTTGTGATTTTAAAACGTAAGACAGTACCCAGATTTGAAGACTACAGTAAGATTTAACTTCTACTGTTAATAAGATTTTGGTAGGCTACTTTTAGATGGATAGCCTAAATGTCCTAATTCAGATGGGCTACCTGTTTTTTTTTTTTTTTTTTTAATGGTATATCAAAAAGTGTATATTTTTTAAATGTGATTGTTGGTACATTTTACCAGTTTTTACCATACTTTCAAAACAAAAATTAAAATAGGAAAAATATGCAATATGAAAATAATTGAATACAAAATGTGTTTTACTGAGAAAAAAACAAGATTTGGTTTTTAAAAAGCCTTTTTCCAAAAGGTACATCTGGAAAAAGGGGGGTCGTCTTATAATCAGGTTCGTCTTATATTCGGGCCAATACGGTATGTAATATTTATTTATTAATTCACAAAATGCTGCAGGTAATGTTGAGAACAGACATGGGAAGGAATTGTGTTCATTAGTAAGTAATATGTTAGCATCACTTGTTTTTGATCGATTCGAAAACAAATGAAATGTAAATTTAATGAGCATAATGACATGTTTACCACAGTCTCTCACACTCTGTCTCTCTGTTCCCTGCAGTCGCCTGATTACAGTGAGGTGTTCGGCTCATCAGAAGAGATTGGATACGGAGAGCATGAGATGGACCAGCATTCAGATATCGTTGCTAAAGGGCACACCCCATCTATAGACAGACAGTCAGAATCAGGAAGACAGGAATCACAGTCAGACAGCCAGAAAAAGGCAGACAGTATAATGGACCCTCAGCTGCTGGAAACCAGGAAAAGACCAGAGCCTCCGCCTCAGAGTACCAAGCCGAGTTTAGCTAAGACACGACAACGCCATCTGGAGGAGAGCTCTGGTAATGCATATTCTGTCATGAGTTGGCATCAGGCATTCATTTTAGTGAATTCTTAATTTCTGTTAACTAGATTTAATAAGCATTTTACACAATATAACTTTCTAAATGGTTATTATTTGCTGTCCCCAGATAAATCTATTGAAGATTCTGGAGAACTGAGGGAGAAGGATGAGGAAAAAGAAGACGGGAGATGTGGAGAAGACCAAAAACCAGAAGGACAGTCTCCACCTATCCCTGAAAAGGTGTCTTTGTGTCTTTAACTTAAAATGTTAGTGATTGTGAGTGGGAGCGTGTCTTTATTCTCATAGCAAAGATGTATCATTAAAACAGCTTTTGATTATATAATTCTTTTCAGCCATGTTATTATTCACCTCACACGTCTCCCATTGGCTCCTCACCACAAGACGTGACCAATGAGAATCAGCCACCAGCTGCTCCGCCCACCTCAGCTAAGCCTGTGTTTCATTCTGCTTCAGTAGATTCTGCTTTGCTTCAAGGTAATTCATACAAAAGTTGTTGTCTTACTGGTAGTTGCATTTATTGTTCATAAAGCTTTATGAAGCATTTCTAAAGCAGTTTAATAATCATATATTCTTTGTAAGTGTTTAATCTTAAATACTTGGTGAAAAAATAAATGTGATAATATAAAGACAGTGTATTAGTAGTAGTAGTAGTATTTTTTATGTATAAAAAGGTTTCTAAATTGTAAACTTTTACAGTCATTTTAAATATAGTGTATATATTTATTTTAAGTTAGCAGTGTATCTGAGATTAATAATAAGCTTCTACATTGTAATTTGATATACCTATACCTATATATATGTATCTGAGAATAACACTTTATACCACTTTCTAGAAAACAGAACAAACTAGTAATATATTATCTGAAAAATACTTATATATATTAACAGTTCACACCACACTTTGGAAAACAGAATGCAATATTAATATCAAATTTGATGAAGGTGAATATATATATAAAAATACACGTACATGTATTGATTATAATATTAAGTGTATGGATTGTAAATTAATATTTTAAGTACAGCTCTAATGATATATTTTGTAAAATGTATTTTGTATTTTTGAACATATTTATTAATATTGCAAATGCACACTTATGTTGCACTTACATGTATAACATTAGGTGTATGGTTTGTAAATTAATGTTTTAGTACAGCTCTAATAGTACAAAATGTATTTTATTTTCAAATGTATTTTGTAAAAAAAATTGTTTAAAAAACATTCTGAATTTTCACAATTTTTGTGACTTCCAACTTTAAAAAAACAAACGAAATATAGAGAATATATGATGTTTATTTTTGCTCAGGTGATGAAGTCAAAAGCAGCCCTGGAGGTCCCATGAAACCACATCGAAATAGGAAAGCAAACTCGTGTGACACAGGTACAAACTTCGAATCCCTTTTGAGCATGCGAGGAGGGTCTGCATTCACCATCTACTGCTCTAGCATGCCTTCATCAACTCATCCTTACTTGTGTGATCCCATCCCTCCCTCTGTGTGCCCCTGTATTTACCCCCTAGGAATGGAGCAGGATGCCCGCTGTGATCTGGAGAGATCCTCAGATCGCAAACCCCCTGTGAAAAAACCTAGACTCCCTCCGAAACGAAATAAGTCCTTGGATTTCCCCGGTACTGTGCTGTTTTGTGTGTGTATGTGCTTCTTGGAAGTGTCCAGCAGTTTTATTAGATAGTCTGACTGGAAAGCACTCCAGTAATTAGAGGAACTCTTTCCAGTATTACATGTGAATGTAGCGTGAGTGTGCGAGCGTGCACCTGTCCGTGTTTGTGTGTCCACAGACAGATGGCTCTGAGTTGACCTTTAACAAAGCCAGATTAGTAAACGGGTAACGTAAGTAGGCCATCATTCACTTCTTTCTCGCTCTTTCTTTTCCTCTGTTTATCTCTGCAGGTCATCAGAGTTTGGAGCCAAGCAACGCTGAAGCATCATGACAACCATTTTAGCCAAAGCTCTGTGAAAACAGAGGGTCATTGTGATGCTGAGAGGAGAGAGGGAGAGATATGATCAGCAGATGAATTTGCACCTTGATGAATTCATAAAGACTCTTGCTTTCGGCTCTCAGACAATTTCATAGTCATTTTACACACATATTCAGCATATTGTTGCTTACTCAAGTGAGTTGTTTTACTTCCCCTCCTGCTTTTACGTAACCATCATTCTTAACCTTCTGCATTTAACTACGATTCCTTTATTTCACTCTCTCTCCGTCTCTCTCTCTTTTGACAATCTTTGACATAAAGGAACTTTTTGCTATTTATCTTTAAAACCATAGAATGATATTTTGTAAAGTATAATATATAAACAGAACCAATATTTGCACTAATCATCGCTTGAATTCTCATTCGGTTCGGTGGATGTACCCCCCCCCCCATGTCCGACATTACCCACGTGAAGTTTTGTAGTGTGCGACTAACTTATTCTTATAATTTCCTGTCTACTCGATCAATATCAGTAGCAGTATTACTGTTGTCTTAATCAGGCATTGTTTATGCAACTGGATAAATGTTTAAGAGTTTGCTGGCCCTAAATGAGCTTTATTTTCTACTAAATGTGATTGAATGAATAAAAACTGAATATTACATCTGCTGTTGTTCTTTTTTTAAATCAGTGAATAGCCTTTACTAGACAGAAAGTAACACAATGGAACTTTGTTATATCATGGTATTGAATGATTACCATATTACTTATTTACATAATACTCCAATATACTTCAAGAATATCATGGTATTAACTGGGTAACATGTCAAAAACACTATTGGTAATACCACCAGATTTACATGGTACATTTTTGCAGCGTACTTCAAAGAATATCATGGTATTACATATTAAACCCCATATGGTTATACAGTACCATAGTACTTTTACTATGTACAAAAAAAAAGTTATTGTTTATGAAAGGTCTCTTTATTGTGAAATATCCAATATAATGTATTTTAAAATGCAATTTATTTCTGTAATGGAAAAACTGAATTTTCAGCAGCTATCCAGTCGTCTGTGTCACATGATCCTTCAGAAATAGCATGGTATTAGCGTGGCATTAACATAGTAACGCTACATAGTAACATCACGGTGCGTTTTGATACATGTTTGAAACGGAACCCGATTAAAATAAACTTTATGGATAGACTGTCATAACTTTGGAAGTGAATTCAATAAAACATATTATTACAGTATATAGATTAATTACTAGCAGTTGAACAATTGTATTGTTTAGCATTTCAAAGCCGTTTTTCAGTCAAGGAAAGGTTAAACAAGTGGATACCAGATGCCGCTTCTCATAATACGTCTCATATTGCCTTTTAATGACACAGGAGGGCAGTAGAGGCCCTCCATCTTGCTACGGAAGAGTAATTTTCAAGCAGAGATTAAGGAATTTATTGTCTGACTGCTGCTTAAACGTCTCTGAGAATCTCTCTCTGAAGAGAATAGTCTATTTATTCCACTATCACTTCATGAGGCTTTTTATTCCACTAAATTGCCTCTTTGAAGGTAAATTTAAAAGTTAGAAATCACTATCAGTGGAAATTATGAAAAGGTATGAATATTTTATTCTCTCTGTAATATTTGATTCTGATTGGTCAGTTGTTGCATTCTATGGTCAAGTATTTTAATACAATAAGCTCCAAACTGTACCATTGTTCCTGGCCACCGTTCTCCTACAATGTGCTTTGTTAATATTTCTCACTCTGAGGCCTCACATTATCGAATAATTTCAACTGAGATTACTATTTCATGTGCATTTATTTATATATGTGTACTGAACTGGATAACGTATGACCAATAGGTCACTACCTTGAAATTTAGTATAGATATTTCAAGACTTATTTGACTGTTTCAAAAGAAAATGACAAACTTTTATTGCTCAGAGGTGGCTTCTTCATGATCAGATGATTCAATACCGTTCTCACTTATATTTTGGGTATCAACTTTTTGTTTTGTTTTTGTCTAAAATTCCTTAGGAAAAACAAGCAAATTAGACAATTGTTGGCATAGAGCTATAACATAGCCAATATGGCTCTTCGAAGAATTTGTTGAGAAAATGTTTGAGTTCATATTTAGAAATTAGTCTTTTGACTACAGACTTTGGAAATTTATCCAAGCACAGTTTGAGATATTTGTTTAGATCTCTGAAGCACATGAGATTTCAATTATCTTTTTTCTCGTGAAAAATCATGTGTAGCAGGAACTCATGCAATTGTCAATTTACTGTAGGAGAAATAATTGAGATCGGATTCGTGATTTTATTTCTAACAGACAGATATCAGAACTTTAACGAGCTTTTTTTTTATATGAAAAGACTCAAGATTGCATATTGAATTGTTGCGTTGTTATGATTGGTTCTAGGTACAGAGAAAATGCCAGGCCAGGTATACCAGATTAAAGACTGATGCTCTATTATCTAGGTGCTCCTAGTACAACTCCCAATAGTACATTTCCAACAAATATAAAGCAATGTGTATGACATGCTCTAAACTTCTCACACAATCACACAAACTCATATTATGTTTCAAACTCTCTTATGTTTAAAATGTAAGAGCGACACTTTTAAGTCATTACATGATTATGTCTTGCATGCATTAGCAAAATACACACGTTTACACGATTACGTGAAAATCACAGGGGATTGTAAGAATATGCATAAATCATTTCATTAATGTGCTCTCTAACACACACACACACACACACACACACACACACACACACACACACACACCTAAACAGCTAAACCCACTCACACCAGCAGTGGGGGAAGCTGTAAATGAAGTGACATGACGTTAAAGGTAGCTGCATAAACGATGGGACTCACTTAGGGAACAAAGGGCTGTGTGTGGACCAAATATACACATTTAATATCTGTTAATCACATTCATTAAAGTATTACACAACACGCTCGTTCTGGCTGTCATTCTTTACTAAAAAGTACTGTGGTGGTAAGCAAGTTCATATGGACTTTAAAGGGGTCATATGATGCTGCTAAAAAGAACATAATTTTG